TGTAAAGGCAGGATTTACTAGGGGCAAATACAGCAATGGTTTCTGCCTGCCTCCCATCAGTTTGTTCATGGTTGGACTCCGTCAGATTATATTTCAAGAGACGAACATGTGTACAGTTTATTAAAGAGTTTCGACTGGAGTTTGTCAGATTATATTTGAAGAGATGCACATGTATAAAGCTTAATAACAAGTTTAGATTGCACTCCGTCAGACTATATTTCAAGAGGCGCATATGTGTACAATTCATTAAAGAGTTTCGCGTGGACTTTGTCAGATTATATTTCAAGAGAAGCACATGTATAGAGTTTATCAGTAAGTTTAGATTGCACTCCGTCAGACTATATTTCAAGAGAGGCACATGTATAAAGTTTATCAGTAAGTTTAGATTGCACTCCGTCAGACTATATTTCAAGAGAAGCACATGTATAAAGTTTATCAGTAAGTTTAGATTGCACTCCGCCAGACTATATTTCAAGAGAAGCACATGTATAAAGTTTATCAGTAAGTTTAGATTGCACTCCGTCAGACTATATTTCAAGAGAAGCACATGTATAAAGTTTATCAGTAAGTTTAGATTGCACTCCGTCAGACTATATTTCAAGAGAAGCACATGTATAAAGTTTATCAGTAAGTTTAGATTGCACTCCGTCAGACTATATTTCAAGAGAGGCACATGTCTACAGTTTATTGAAAAGTTTATAAACAATGTCTACAATGTTTAATGAGTGCCATCTCTTCCGACAGAGACTGAAAAATGAAATTACCTGATAAAGCCCTCCTAACTTCCAAATCTCCTATGCCCCGGGAGGAGCACAAGTTCTGTAGAACTTCTATGTGTCTCTAGAAAATATTCAAAAGTATAATTATCACAAAGTGGAAACACAATACAGAGACAGGATAGACAATATACATATAAATATATATATATATGTGTGTGTGTGTGTCTGTGCCTGTGTGTGCAGGTGTGTGTGTGTGCCTGTGTGTGCATATATGTGTGTGCGTGTGTGTGTGTGTGTGTGCATGTGTGTGTGTGTGTGCATGTGTGTGTGTGTGTGTGTGCCTGTGTGTGTGCATTCAGTTAGGTAAGTGGAAGAAACAATCTCAAAGAGGAAGCCAAGACATTGGCTTTAATATTTTATTTTCTCTCTAACTAGAGGTAATTGCAGGAGGAGATAGGGGTAAGGTAATAAAAGTAAAGGAAAGGGTAGCTGAAGAAGGATAAAAACATATTTTTTGTTTTGTTTTTAAAGAAACAGAAGAAGACCAGAGAAAACGAAGACGAAAAAAAAGGGAAAGAAAATGGTAAAATGCAATGGCACTCTCGTGCACGCACACACACTTACATACACATGCAAACCCACTCTCTCACTTACACAAACACACGCACGCACACACAAACACACACATGCCCGCAAGCATGCACGCACATGCACGCACACACACACACACACACACACATACATACATACATACATACATACATACATACATACATACATACATACATACATACATACATACATACATACATACATACATACATACATACATACATACATACATACATACATACATACATACATACATACATACATACATACATACATACATACATACATACATACATACATACATATACACGCACACACAAATGTGCAGATGTATAAATAAACACACACACACACACACACACGCACGCACGCACGCACGCACGCACGCACGCACGCACGCACGCACGCACGCACGCACGCACATGCATACATACATACATACATACATACATACATACATACATACATACATACATACATACATACATACATACATACATACATACATACATACATACATACATACATACATACATACATACATACATACATACATACATACATACATACATAAATACATACATACATACATACATACATACATACATACATTCAAGTGCAGCTAATACCATCTCTCGTCTATTCTGGAACCCCTCGTTCACAAAAGTGGCCACATTTGACCAGGTATCCTTTCCTACCCTGTAACTGCCTAATCTCCTTGGGGGTAACTCTTTCCTTTCTAAAGAAAGCCTGCAGTTTAACAGCAACAATCTTTTACAGAAGTAGTGTGCCCGACCTCTACTGCAGTAACAACATGTATATGACAGACTATATTTAAAACATTCGACTATAGCAATACTCACTTGCATGACTTCTATCTTGGAGTTGGTTTCTGTGAGAGTTCGGGAAATTTTCTTTTTCTGTGTGTAGAGAATCTTCAGATTCAACCGCTGCTTGTCCAGCACTGCGGCTATGAGACCTGCAAGCCATCATATATGCATTTATTTAGCGTTAGAGTTAACACCAGCAGCTTTTGGCTTTACTTAGCGTTAGAAATAACACCAGCAGACTGTGGCTTTATTTAGCTTTAGAAAAAAAAACACCATCAGACTTTGGTTTTATTTAGCGTTACAAATAATACCAGCAGACAATGGCTTCATTTGGCGTTAGAGATAACACCAGCAGACTTTGGCTTTATTTAGCGTTAGAAATAATACCAGCAGCCTTTGGCTTCATTTAGCGTTAGAAATAACACCAGCACTTTGGCTTTATTTAGCGTTAGAAATAACACCAGCAGACTTTGGCTTTATTTAGCGTTAGAAATAATACTAGCAGCCTTTAGCTTCATTTAGCGTTAAAAATAATACCAGCAGACTTTGGCTTTATTGAGCGTTAGAAACAACACCAACAGCCTTTAACTTCATTTACCGTTAGAAATAATATTAGCATACTTTGGCTTTATTTGCTGTTGTTTTTTAACTTAGAATTTTAATTAAATTGATCGGTAATGTTGATGAAAAGGAATCACTGACACCTTAAGACTGCATAACATCACAGCATATCAAGTCAGAGCGCGCTGGCTCGGATGCTGTTCGCCTGATGAACTGCGACGCCTAGCGGCATAAGCAAATATTGACATAAGAAGACAAAAAATAATGTGATTAAGGAAGCCACTGTAGTTTAGAGCGTAAAGGTTCCACGAAAAGCATAAAGGTTTTGGGTTTCTTCTTCTGCGAGTGCCCTTATATGGTGGTTGACATATTGTGTTGTGGTTTACAGCTAGGTTGTAATTTCTGCCTTTTGTGGCCACAATATCTGATTTCAGAAAATCCCTTATTGATTGCCTGGTGCTTGTTAAAATACAGTGGGTTTATCAATTTTTTTGTTCACCCTAAATTATCAGGCTCTGGAACCCACATGGGAAGTAGTTTTGATTCAAATTTGACCCTAGGTCAATTTTTCTCTGGGGGCTGTTGGTTGATCCAGCTTTAAAATGGTACCTGAAAATGATCTGCAAAGTAAGGATTGTCCGTATGGTTATGATGTCCGCATCAGTGAGGTGGAGGGGTGTCACACAAAGCAGAGACCATCATAGTTTAAGCAACAATGCATGTATCAACAAACCATAAAAGTCACAGGCGTGAAGCAAACAGCTTAACCACTCTGACACTGGGAACCCAGGGATTTAATAGATCTCTGTTAAATACATCTCAGTACACAGGATCATGCACGTCGTCAAACTTGCTCCATAATTTTGAAAGCAGTAAGAACTGCCGATAGAAAAAAAAAAACATTTCGAGGCCCTCAGCCTACTTATAGATGGTGTGGTAGGCATAAAGAGCCTTAAGCTAAGTTTAAGTGTGCAATAATATTAATAATTATTATTATTATGTTACTGAATGGTAAATAAATAAAAAAAATATATTTGAAAAAATATGAATTGCACAAACAAATACTCAGAATGAAAATATCCATGCCGGGATAGGAAAACCAATGAGCTCTCTTGCAAATTTGTAGGCGTTAGGGCCCCATAAGCCCTACATGTTACAGGGGGATGGGGACAGAGAGCTCAGGACCATATCAGTCAGGATGGAAACCTACAGGTCCTTGGCTAGGCTGTCCCTAGGGTTTTACAGACATTTTGTCATCTTTCACAAGTCTGTTATGGCCTGAGATTGTTGACCAAAAAATATGTGTGCGAATTAAGTCTCGCGCGCTATAGCAGTCAAAAATCTTTAATTTCTATGTCAAGCCTAGGAGGTGTAAAAGGATTGAATGGAAATAACAAGAGAAAGAAGAAGGAGATCGGCGATGAAGAGGGGGAGGAGAAATAGGATGTAGAGGAGCAGCAGAAGACAAAGCAGAAAAAGATGAATTAGCAGTAGTAGTGGTGGTAGTAGTAATAGCAGGATTAGGAAGAAGAGGAAGAAACAGAAGAAGAAGAAGAAGAAGAAGAAGAAGAAGAAGAAGAAGAAGAAGAAGAAGAAGAAGAAGAAGAAGAAGAAGAAGAAGAAGAAGAAGAAGAAGAAGAAGAAGAAGAAGAAGAAGAAGAAGAAGAGAAGAAGAAGAAGAAGAAGAAGAAGAAGAAGAAGAAGAAGAAGAAGAAGAAGAAGAAGAAGAAGAAGAAGAAGAAGAAGAAGAAGAAGAAGAAGAAGAAGAAGAAGAAGAAGAAGAAGAAGAAGAAGAAGAAGAGAGAAGAAGAAGAAAGAAGAGGAAGAAGAGGAAGAAGAAGAGGAAGAAGAAGAAGAAGAAGAAGAAGAAGAAGAAGAAGAAGAAGAAGAAGAAGAAGAAGAAGAAGAAGAAGAAGAAGAAGAAGAAGAAGAAGAAGAAGAAGAAGAAGAAGAAGAAGAAGAAGAAGAAGAAGAAGAAGAAGAAGAAGAAGAAGAAGAGGAAGAAGAAGAGGAAGAAGAAGAGGAAGAAGAAGAGGAAGAGGAAGAAGAAGAAGAAGAAGAAGAAGAAGAAGAAGAAGAAGAAGAAGAAGAAGAAGAAGAAGAAGAAGAAGAAGAAGAAGAAGAAGAAGAAGAAGAAGAAAAAAGATACTAAAAGAATAAACTGCAAAACAGAACTGACACATGCACACACCCAGCACACACAGTGTACTGATACAAAAGTGGTGTGTTAGGCAATACTATGGCTATATAGATTAAACTACATACATTAAATACTTACTGTTGAGAATTCGAATAACTCTCCATGGAAACAGAAGTGTCAAAATGATCACAAACTGTTCTTCTGAGAAAGCAGTCACCCCATTCATAAACACGATGTCAAGCACGAAGGAAATAATGGTAATCAACCCATCAAAAACCTGTTCAATTAAAACGAAGAGAAATGTACTGTCTTTAAATGGAGTGAAATGCATTGTCAATAAGCAGTGAGAAATTTATCTCCTTTAAAAGGATAGAAATGCATTGTCAATAAGCAGTGAGAAATTTATCTCCTTTAAAAGGATAGAAATGCATTGTCATTAAGCAGTGAGAAATTTATCTCCTTTAAAAGGATAGAAATGCATTGAAAATAATCAGAGAGAAATATAGTGTCTCTGAATGGAGATACAGTGGAACCTCGCTTAACGATCATAATTCGTTGCAGAATCATACTCGGTAAGTGAAATACTCGTTATGCGAAACAATTTTCTCATGTAAATTAATGTAAAATACGTTAACGCGTTTTATAGAAGAAAAAAAATACTCACAAAATGCTTTGTATAACTTTTCTTCAAAGAAAATTATGTACATATTGTTAAGGAGATTGAATCATCTTCATCTCTTCTTCAAACGCGGAACGAACCCACCTGGAATGCGAATTTGATTTGCAGGAAAAAAAATCGAAATAATTATGATACATAGCTAATTATTTTTTTTTTCTTACTAGAATGATGTCCAGAGAAATTTGTTTTTGCTAACGCTTCAAAACTTGGCGAAAATACGAAAAGGCATTATCATTAAATAAATTTGCAACGCGCATAACCACTTCCTTATTAGGATGATGCTTCTCAATGTAAGATGCAACAGTTTGCCATGCTTTCAGCATTTATCTTATTTCGCCAAAAGATTGTTGCTTTTCTGTACCTCCTCCTCCTCCTCCTCTGACAAACGTTCTTCCAAAACGTCTTGCTGTGAAACACAATGTAACTCCATAAGCTCTTGGGTGGTCAGCTCTTGGCTGTGCTCTTCCACAAGCTCTTCGATATCACTGTTATCTACCTACAATCCCATGATAGTGCCCGAAGACACAATTTCGTTGACTACCGGTTCCACAAGGACTGTCTCGAACCCCTCAAAGTCACAAATCGACAACGCTCTCAGGCCAAAGCTTCTTCGAAGCAGAAAATAGGGTGCTCTTGGTAACCCCCTTTCCCCGCCTTGTTGAACATCTTGAGGCAGGCAACGATGTGAAAGTGATTTTTCCAAAACTCTTTGAGAGTGAGGTTGGTCCCTTCAGTCACCAGAAAACAATGCTGGAAGAGTGTTTTAGTGTAGAGCTTCTTAAAGTTAGAAATAACTTGCTGGTCCACGGCCTGGCGTTGGAGTGGTGTTGGCAGGCAGAAACTGGATCGTGATGAACTTAAATTCTTCAGAGAGATCATCTTATTGGCCTGGAGGATTCATGTACAAACTATAACACAAGTTTGAGAAAATATGTGATCACAAGCGGCACTACGATGCTACTGGAACAAGTGCTAAACACAGACTGATGTAACATGCGCACAATTCGGGACTTCCCTTCTCCTCGCCACTCGTTATGCGAAACATCGCTCGTTAAGCAAGTCATTTTTTTACATTTTATTTTGCTCGTTATACGAATTACTCGTTATGAGAGGTGCTCGTTAAGCGAGGTTCTACTGTAAATGTATTGTCATAACCAGAAAGAAATGTATTGCCATTAAAAAGAGAGAAAAATATTGCCGGTATATAGAAATATAAATTATATACTGTTAAACAGGTAGAAATTTATGGTGGTTAAACAGAGAGAAATGTACTGCCCTTGGGAATAAGACTAAAGTCTAGAGAAAAAACAACCAGAACCTTGCCTGGAGTTTAAAGGCATTGAAAGAAAAAAAGAAAAAGAAGAAACAGGGCTGTTAAACAGACAGTTGTGTACTGTCATTGAACAGAGAGAAATTTACTGTGGCTAGATAGACAGATACTGAGGCTAAATATAGAAACAGGTACTGTCATTAAACAGAGATAAATGTATTAAAATTAAAAAGAGAGAGATGTATTGTCGCTAAACAGAAAGAAATGTACTGTCATAAAAAGAGTTGTTAAGCAGAGAGAAGTGTACTGTCACTGTACAGAGAGAAGTGTACTGTCACTGTACAGAGTGAAGTGTACTGTCACTGTACAGAGTGAAGTGTACTGTCATTGAATAGAGAGCAGTGTACTTTCACTGTACAGAGAGAAGTGTACTGTCACTGAACAGAAAAAAGTGTACTGTCACTGTACAGAGAGAAGTGTACTGTCACTGAAAAGAAAGAAGTGTACTGTCACTGTACAGAAAGAAGTGTACTGTCACTGAACAGAAAGAAGTGTACTGTCACTGTACAGAGAGAAATGTACTGTCACTGTACAGAAAGAAGTGTACTGTCACTGTACAGAGAGAAGTGTACTGTCATTGAACAGAGAGAAGTGTACTGTCACTGTACAGAGAGAAGTGTACTGTCACTGTACAGAGAGAAGTGTACTGTGACTGTACAGAGAGAAGTGTACTGTCACTTAACAGAGAGAGGTGTACTGTCACTGTACAGAGTTATGTGTACTGGCATTGAACAGAGAAAAGTTTACTGTCACTGTACAGAGTGATGTGTACTGGCATTGAACAGAGAAAAGTTTACTGTCACTGTACAGAGTGATGTGTACTGTCATTGAACAGAGAAAAGTTTACTGTCACTGTACAGAGTGATGTGTACTGTCATTGAACAGAGAGAGGTGTACTGTCACTTTACAGAAAGATGTGTACTGTCACTGTACAGAGTGAAGTGTACTGTCATTGAACAGAAAGAAGTGTACTGTCATTTAGAACAAATAAATGCACTTGTCATTAAACAGAGAGAAATATACTGTCATTAACAGAGTTGTTAAACATAGAGAAGAGTACTTTCATTAAACACAGAGCTATGTACTGTCATTAAACAGAGAAAAGTGTACTGTCATTTAACAGAGAGAAGTGAACTGTCATTGAACAGAGGGAAAAATACTGTCATTAAACAGAGAGAAGCAAAGAAGGCACAATCTTACATGATGCTGTGCAGAAGAAAAGATGAACAAAACATTTTAAGGAGATATTCAACAGGCCTGACCTACTAGACTTAATGAAGTTAGGAAAAGAGGCATAAAGGACCACATACCCCACAAACGAGGAGCAGTGTAATGTTACAGAAATAAGAAAGGCAATACAAACACTAGCAAATAATAAGGCAGCGGGCGATGATAATTTTACAGCAGAAATTATCAAAGGGGTAAATGAGATAATTATCCAACAAGAGCTAGAACTATTTAACAAAATATGGGAAGAGGAAACAGTCCTAGATCAATGGAAAAAGAATATAATTGTGAAAATCCCCAAAAAGATCATGCAATAATTGGAGAGGAATTATCTCAGTTAAACTAAAGAGGCAGATTAAATCATGAGAGAAGAACAAGCTGTATGTGAATTGGAAGAAGTTGCCTGGATCAAATAATTATCTGCATCAAATAATTGTCTTGATCAAAAAAATGTCTAAATCAAATGATTGTCGGGATCAAATGAATGTCTGGATCAAATAATTGTCTGCATCAAATAATTGTCTGGACCAAATAATTGTCTGGATCAAATGATCGTCTGGATCAATAATTGTCTGGATCAAATGATTGTCTGGATCAAATGATTGTCTGGATCAAATGATTGTCTGGATCAAATAATTGTCTGCATCAAATAATTGTCTAGACCAAAAAATTGTCTGCATCAAATAATTGTCTGGATCAAATAATTGTCTGGATCAAACGATTGGATTGTCTGGATGAAATGATTGTCTGGATCAAATAATTGTCTGCATCAAATAATTGTCTGGATCAAATCATTGTCTGGATGAAATAATTGTCTGGATCAAATCATTGTCTGGATAAAATAATTGTCTGCATCAAAAAATTGTCTACATCAAATAATTGTCTGATTCAAATAATTGTCTGGATCAAATAATTGTCTGGATCAAATAATTGTCTGGATCAAATAATTGAATGGATCAAAAAATTGTCTGCATCGAATAAATGTCTGCATCAAACAATTGCCTGGATCAAATAATTATCTGGATCAACTATTTGTCTGGATGAAATAATTGTCTGCATCAAATAATTGTCGGATTCAAATAATTGTCTGGATTAATAATTGCTCTGAGACTTATTTTGGAAGAATACACTGAGAAGCTGCTACCTCTGATCCTCAGTTTTGTTGATTTGAAGAAGTTATTCGACAGCTTTCATAGAATTACATTATGGGGAATTTTAGAATGCTACCGCATAATAGCTCAAATAATAGCATGGTAAGACATTTATGTAATGGTTCAGACTGTGCAGTGTGCCCTTAAAATGGTCTAAGTGACTGGTTTTTTTTTGGTGAGAACTGGAGTGAAACAAGGCTGGATTCTATATCCTTTTTTGTTTGAAGCAGCTATTGATTAGGTAATGAAAAAAAAATTGTTGCAAAGACAATACTGGCACTGATCAACTGAAAGACATCTCGCTAACTGAGTTGGTTAAAACCCTTTGCGTGGCAACCGGGTCATGAACTCCTTGTGGTCCGAGTTCACGCCTAGGGGTAGGCAGAAAAGCCACATTTCTAGCAAATTTACGGTACCTATCATGTAAACAAGGCCTAAGGGTTGCGATATTCATAGTACCGAGCCACAGAGTTTACAACTCACGGTTTCTGGATACTCGAAAGAAAATAACAATCAACTAGAGAGAAGAGATGGATTTCGCAGATGATATTATTCTGTTACATAAAAATAGCAAAGACATACAAAGAAAAACAGACAATTTCTCGTCTAAAGCATCAAAAATAGGATTACAAATAAGTAATGCGAAAACAAATATATTAAGATACTAACAATAGATCTTGTAGATGTCATGCTAGAGAGAAAAAAAGCTAAAAGTTCTTGACCATTTCACCTATTTGTTTAGTAATTCTGACTCTCAGTGAGATATAAGGAAGGAAACTGTGATAAGTATTGACAAAGCAACAAGAGTCTTATCCTTAACAAAAGATGGAGCTCCAAGTTATACAGCTTTAAGACAAAACTACGAATCTTCAGTTTAATACTGTTTCAGTTCTAACTAGGGCTGTACCGAATAGTGATTTTTTACTATTCGACCGAATACGAATAGCGAGACCAACTATTCGGCTGAATAAGAATACGAAAAGTATATTATCATCATCAGGTGCCTTGCTGACTGGCATGGGCGATTATGCCTCGCCACAATCTGCGATCTCCTGCAGCATGTATTAGTTCGTGTGCTGACACAGCTTCATGCCATGCAATAAGGCTGTCAAGAATCTTCTCTCGTTGTCTTCCTCTATCCCTCCTTCCACATATCTTTCCAGTGGTCACAACATGTTTCATTTTCCCTCTTCTCATAATATGGCCGAAATATGATAACTGTCTACATCTGATGTTGGTGATTAGTTGGCTTCGGGCTACCGCCTCTTTGAAAACCACTTAGTTGTGTGTGTGTGTGTATATGTGCGTGCGTGTGTGTGTGTGTGTGTGTGTTTTGGTGGCTGACCAAAGTATTTTAAGCATTCTTCTGTAAAATCCAGCCATATGTTAAAACTGGATGTATGTAGCAAGCAAGAATTCTTTTTCTAACCTTCAATGAAAAAGATACATTGCATGAGATGTTCTTAATTTTATAAAATGCAGCTTTTGCCTGTCCTTTTTTTGACAGTGGCGAGGAAAAACAATTTGAATGTTAACTTTTAAGTATCTTGATGCCTTCTTTAATAATATCACAATTTATTGCCGACTTTTCTTGATTTTTGCCGCGGCACCACTGGTATACGCCAGTTTAAGAGCCTCTGCTGTAATTCCTCGGTCGAGTCAGCAGGCAACGATCTTGCTAGCTGCTGTACCACGCAACCGGGTCATAGTTACCCCCGCTAAGACAGAATTAGGCAACAGCAACTATTTTGGTAATGAGAGAGTTATTTCAGTCCATCGCAGTGTATGCAGAAACGGGTGTAAGGTAACAACTACTCGTATTCAGCCCGACCTCAAGTATTCGGCCAAATACCGAATAGTTATTAGGTGCACTTTTCGGCCCCGAAACGAATACGAAGCGAATATTAGGTACAGCCCTAGTTCTAACATATGCCAGCGAAAGTAGGAGAACCACCAAATATATGGAGCACAAGTGAAACGCATTTGACAATAAATGTCTGACAAAAATCATGAACATAAAATAGGATGAATTCACAAAATAGTGAAGAGATCAGAGAAATGTCTGGACAAATACCTGCATCTCTGCAATAAGACAAAGAAGGTGAAGATGTATTGGGCACACGCTGAGACGAAATGAGCTAAGAAACAAGTACCGACATTAGAAACAAACAGTTGAAGAAATAGAGGACCTACAAGGGAAACATTAAGAAGAACATTATTACGAGAGGTAACAAATGTTAGACTGAACTACATGTCAGAAATAAAGAAAGTTGCTGGAAACAGAGAGGAGCGGAGCTATTAAATTCGAGCTCTATGTGACGGCTGTTGGCACCCGAAGGATATTGATGATTATTAACAAGAACTTGTAGAAAATTATCCACACAAAATAAAGTGTCAAACAAAAACAAAATTCATTCGCCTGCAACTGGTAATTTATTGTCCACATTTCAGTGGCATGGTTGACATTGTTTTGTCTAGACAATATTTGCTATGTTTGGTCAGATGTTGGGAAGGCACTGACTGTCGCAAGAACTCTCCACGTCAAGCTGGCAGCACCATTTTGTTTTCATGATGGTTTAAACGGAAAATCCAAATTACAAGTACAAAAGCACTCTATCTATCTCAAAATTGATTGCCACCCCCCCCCCCTCCCCCCTTCCCTTGAAACTTTCTCACGCAATCCTAGGAGAACATTCCCCCTCTTTTTTGCTGTTGTTGTAGACCAATGTTCTACTTGTACTTGTAGCTTGTTCAGTCAGAAAACTTACCAACATTCGTTCCTTGAAAAATCTCCTCCCAAAGCAGATAAGTTTCAGAAGCAGCTGGAAGGTGTAAGAAATGAAAAGTCATTGATTACCTCATTTAATTTGTCCAGTAAGAAGGTACTGTAAATAACAGGCTATTCTCACACCTTTATGAGTATCGGGTATATGATACTGGCCATTAAATCTACAGGACAATCGACACAAGAAAGCTCTTGTGGTCAGCACCATAGACGTTTCATTTACTGCCCATGTCATTTCTCAGTATTCGTGATGAACCTCAGAGCTAAGGTGAGTAAAACAAAAGTCTGCTAAACCCATGACTAAACTGCCGATAAGAAAATAGTAACAGCCTTAACCACCTGGGTTAAATTGTACTTTTAATAAAGGTAAATGTAAAGTGGGGAGATGTGAGGCAGCGTCATTGCCCACGGTTATAAACTATAAGTGCTCTGCCACCAGTACGGACAGCTGATAAGAATTGTCCGCCTGTGTCGACGCCTGAACGTAACTCTGTAGCTACAGCGACGTTCCTCCATTTACCCTAGAGTGTCAACTCTGGTGCCAATTTTCTAGAGGCTGGGTGAACCCCGGGAACCGCCCTGTTTCGAACACCGACCGTGGGCTGCAGCGAGTCAAAGCTGGATTTGAAAGCGAGCCTCTCATCGACTGCGGCACCTAATATAAATTACTTATAATAAAAACACAGTAAACTCAACAGGCCAGAAATGAATGTTCCAAGTCACTGAGTAAACAGGAAATAGCATCCAGTGATTTTCAGTAACAACATACTGGTTTTTCAGCGAATATTTCCCAGCACGCATAATTGTATTTGTATTGCTTTTACTATAAAAATGGGAAAAGTTCGTTACCATGGAGATCTGGGGTCAGTTAAGTGGGACAAGGAACAATGGCGGGCAAATGGTTGCAATAGTTTTTGTTGTAAGCAAAGTTGTAGAGGAGATATCTGGAAAGATGGGTAACATACTTTCGTCTTGTAGTCCGTAAGGCAAGGCGCTGGAGGTCATGCCTTTCCAGAGTACTCTGTCTTGTGTACTTTCAGTCATTTTTGACACCTATGATCTCCCATCCATGATGTCAAACTGCCCAGCATCTTCACTGACGGTCTTCCCCCTCCTCTTCCCCTCTATACACTGTCATAATATACTCTAGTTTTGTATTTTCCCTAACGTAGCAAAGAACGTATAAGAAAGAGACAAACACTGTTCTTTGGCTACATAAGGAGAAGAGAGACTTTGGAGAACATCGTGACAACTGGAAATATCGGTGGAAAAAGGGGTTGTTGCAGACTAAGAGAGACGATGCAGGATGGATTGAAACGATGGCATGGAGGGGTATCATCAAGAGAGCTGTTCCAGGCAACCAGGGATCGTGATCTGTGGAGACGCATGAGCGCCTGCGCTAGTTGGCAGGGCACATGATGATGACCAAAGAATGTAGACTGTCTTCTTGTGATGCGGGTAATTAGTTTTCTCTGTGATTAAATTTCTGGTAACACATTTTCATCACTCTTTTTATCTATCCGTGGTGTTGACATCACTGGTCTATAAAACCACTTCTCTTCTGCTTTCTTATAATTTCTCGCTACTCGGCTAACTGCCTATGATTCACTTCTGTGTGTTGAGAATGGCAATATACATCTTTTAAAAACTCGTTTGCTCACCTCAGCTAGCAAAGATATATCACATATACTATTCCACATTGTGTGATATGTCTTAGCATGAACTGTTAGTAATATTAACTTTTATTATTGCGTGCAGCATAGATTACTTTTTGCTTCTTCTGCTGGTTGTTGTTGTTGGTGTTGTTTGCTGGTGTTGGTGTTCTTTTTCTTGTACTTCTTCTATTTTCTTCCCTGCATCCTTCTTCTTCTTTGTCTTGTAAGTAATGAATAATACAGGTTGTGAGGTGGATTCATGGAAACAGCGTGACAGTGACAATTATCGTATGCATGGAGAGAGACAATCAGGACAGGAATATGGATACAGGGTCACTAAGGATTGCAGATAGGCTAAGAGATGAGCGTTAAACACATAACACAGCGACAATGATTCTGAAATCCCATGCTCTAATTGTCTTAATGATCTATGAGCCAAGTTCAGTGCATAGGGCAGAGGTCATATCTTTCCATGTCTGGTGGTTTACTGCCACCTGTTTTAGGTCTTGGATGTTCCTTACGCCTATTGTTGAGCCTCTCCTGACCGTCCATGATACCTCATCACACACAATAACTGGCTTTAGTATAATTCTTGGGAACTATCGACCCTCATCTCAACTGAAAAAGTTCTTCATTTTCTTCTTCTCGTTCTTCTTCTCTGGTCACTCTTAAAAGGACGTTTGGCGAATTGTTTAGTGGTTTTGAGCTCTGCTGTGACATCTGCACTTTTCAGCCCAACACGTCCCATTTCAGCAAATCCGTATCTGCTTGTATATTAACACATGACGGTTAGAGAGCAACACTCCCCCAACCCTCTCCATAAAGGGGCCCTAAAACTTACATGGGAAATGTGAAACAATAAATTGATACATTACAAGTATTCAGAACTGTATTCAGAAGGTTTAAAAAAGTAAAGTAAAAAGTAAAGTAAAGGACCCTTTTCCACGCCTTAAGGCGTATAGGACATATAGGGCTAGACCTATATTTTTATAGACCGATCGGCACAAGATGGGTGTGTTCAGAAGGTTCAAGTAAACTTTAAATGGACAAAGAAAAAATAAACAGATCATTGGGTAAGATACTTACAATAATAACTAGCAGCGTAAGAATGGATACGCTACAGTAATGTAACTTGTGCGCGACTATAGACAAGGTATCATCCACCTCGCCTGTGCTCTCCAGAACATACGTCTCATTACTGTAATGCGGCTGAAAACAAACATCGGTATCATGGGAACCTGAGTAACCTGCCGGTAACATATTCAGGTAGCCATGGATCGTCTGGTTGGTTCCCCTGACAGTGTCGTTAAGGAAGTCCCTGCATCCGGAAGCAAAGTCCGTGACGTTGTCTCTGAGAGCTGAAGCATTGAAGATGATGTGCGAGTTTAGGAGAAGCTGCAATAGCTCCGCATCCTTCATCTCGATGTGGTATCTCTTGCCAAAGTCCGTGCTGAAGGACTCCAGCATCTCTGATTTGGAGCCTAGTGAGACTGTCGAAGATTATTATAAAATGTTAGAAAGAAGATGTAGGGGATATTATTATTATTATTATTATTATTATTATTATTATTATTATTATTATTATTATTATTATTATTATTATATTTCTATGTTTAATATTACTACATACTGCTTAGTAAAAATATGTCATTCAGTACATAGCGAAAATAACGCTCTCTACACGCTTACGCGACTCATACAGAAACACCAAAGTGTGAAAGCTACCAGTTAATAGCACTCAAATGAAGAGGATAATATCACGTGATACTCTGTCAGGTGTAACTGTATCTGTTTAAAACTGGTACCGCTTACACATGCTAATTGATAGAGCCTCGCCACTAGTATTTACCATGGTGTATGAAATAGTGGGTCGTGAAATATTGAATTTACGGACGGCCGCACTGCTAGTACAGCCACCACAACTGTGTATATCATCATGTAGCAAGTCCTTTGCAGAACGTCGCTCTCATCATAATCTGCCTGAATTAAACTCAGTCTCTCGCCAGTTCTCCCGCCTCCTGTACTTTTATACTCAACGAGTCACTTATATCCTGTGCCCATCTTCGTGTCGGTCGGCCCCTGCCTCTCCTTCCTGGTACCATGCCTTCTGCTAAAAAAAATTCCAATCCGTCGTGGCGCTGGAAATGACCAAAATATTTCAGCTTCCGAGACAGGATGCTATTTATTAGCCAATCTTCCTTGATGTTCAGATCTTTCAAGATGTCAGTATTTTTCCTCTTCTTTGTCCAAGATATTCTGAGAATCTTCTATAGCATTTCAGCACAAAAGCCCCTATTATCTTTCCTAAAGACTGAGAGATAGTCTACGACTCACATCCGTATGTAGCCATAGGGAAGATGCATGCTCTCAAAATTCTAATTTTGATAATAGACTTCTAAGGTTGTTCAATCTTTGCATTGCTATGGCATCCTCCTTTTAATTTCTGTCAAACAACTGTATAGGTTGGGATTTAAATTTTTGCCTTGACCTTATTAGATGACTAAAGAGACTCATATATCTCATTAGATCATTAAGGAAACGCACACATCTCATTAGATAATCAAGTAGATTCACATAACTCATTAGATCATTAGGAAGACACACACACCTCATTTAGTTCATTAAAAATACCCACATACCTCATTTTTGATCATTAAAGAGACTCACACATCTCATCAGATCTTTAATGAGACTCACACTCATCATTAGGTCATCAATGAGACTCACACATCTAATTTAAATCATTAAAGAGACCCACACACCTCATTTAAATCATTAAGGAGAAACACACCTTATTAAATCATTAAAGAGACTTACACATCATTAGATCATTTAGGAGACTCACAATCCTTATTAAATTATCAGAGAGTTTCACATAAAAAAATTAGATAATCAAGGAGACTCACACAAATCATTAGATCATCAATAAGACTCATTTAAATGATTAAATCAATTAGGAGCCTCACATACCTCTTTAGATCATCATAGAGACTCACACACCTAATTTGACCATTGGGGACACTCAAACACCTCATTAGATCATTAGGGAGACGCACTCACCTTGTTATACCATTAGGGAGACTCACACATCTCATTAGACCATTAGGGAGACTCACACATCTCATTAGGCCATTAGGGAGACTCACACATCTCATTACACCATTATGGAGACTCACACATCTCATTAGACCATTAGAGAGACTCACACATCTCATTAGACCATTACGGAGACTCACACATCTCATTAGACCATTAGAGAGACTCACACATCTCATTAGACCATTAGAGAGACTCACACATCTCATTAGACCATTACGGAGACTCACACATCTCATTAGACCATTAGAGAGACTCACACACCTCATTAGATCCTTAAAGAGACTCACACAAATCATTAGATCATCAATAAGACTCATTTATATGATTAAATCAATTAGGAGGCTCACATACCTCTTTAGCTCATCATAGAGACTCACACACCTAATTAGACCATTGGGGACACTCAAACACCTCATTAGATCATTAGGGAGACTCTCACCTAAATGGACCGTTAGGGAGACTCACATACCTTATTATACCATTAGGGAGACTCACACACCTTATTATACCATTAGGGAGACTCACACATCTTATTATACCATTAGGGAGACTCACACACCTTAGTATACCATTAGGGAGACTCACACATCCTATTAGACCATTAGTTAGACTCACACATCTTATTAGACCATTAGGGAGACTCACACACCTTATTAGACCATTAGTTAGACTCACACATCTTATTAGACCATTAGGGAGACTCACACATCTTATTAGACCATTAGGGAGACTCACACATCTTATTAGACCATTAGGGAGACTCACACATCTTATTAGACCATTAGGGAGACTCACACATCTTATTAGACCATTAGGGAGACTCACACATCTCATTAGACCATTAGGGAGACTCACACACCACAATAGACCATTAGGGAAACTCACACACCACAATAGACCATTAGGGAGACTCGCACACCTTATTAGATCATTACAGAGACTTACACACCTCATTAGACCAATGGAGAGACTCACACATCTCATTAGACCATTAGGGAGACTCACACAATACAATAGATCATTAGGGAGACTCACACACCACAATAGACCATTAGGGAGACTCACACACCTTATTAGATCATTAAAGAGACTCACACACCTCATTAGACCAATGGAGAGACTCACACACCTCATTAGACCATAAGGAAGACTCACACAGCTTATCAGACCATTAGGAAGACTTACTTGCCCAATCTGACCACAAAAGAGTCTCTATGGGTTTTCCAGGCAGAAACTGAATTGTAATAAATCTCCTACACCGAATAATGTCTTGTGCCGCTTTTAATCATCAAAAAAAAAAAAAAAACGATGCACGTGGATCACTAGAAGAATTCATAGAGATGCAGGGATATCCCATTGGGGGTCTATTTCACAGCAACAGTCTGAGAATCCCTTGAAAATGTCACGGTAATCCTCAATCCATCATTGTGATTACACAAGACAGCATACGTCCGCCCTACTGGTTAATAATTTTATCTCTGTTCTTGCTAGACAAGCATGGAAAGTAGGACGAACAGTCTGCTTCGTTGACAGAAAACTGAAGTGATCTGCCAGGGTCGGAAATATTTTTGGAGCAACCTTATTCTACCCGGAAGGTCGCGGTTTCGCGTCTTGGCGGATACGGACCTCTTTTTTTAAATGACCTTGGCTCCCAGGTGGACCCAGCCTTGAGTGGGTGTCGCATGACAGCATCCACACATCTGCCGCAGTAGGAAGGTCCACAGGCTGAACACCCCCAAACTCGTCATCGTAACTATGTATTAGTATAGGCCAAGCATAGTTAGATAGTTCGTTCGTTGTGGGGGAGTCCTGATAGGAAAAATCTCTATAAAACCCTTTGATAATGACTCTTTTAGGCTTTGAGTGTCGAATTACATGTTAGGACACATTTTCTACGCCTATTCTAAATAAATTGTCTGACCACTGCACTGCATTAGTGAGCGGGATTAGTACGCTAACTGCTGTAGTTAGGGGACGTGTTTGTGTGCGTCACTTCTCTACAGTCCGGTCTTGGAGGCAGGCGTTTTTCCCTGTGTCTCGCCAATTGACCGTTATACAGACAAGATTCCTTATTCTCTTTTTTATTTATCATGGGATGTCTGAAGACCCAACAAGTGTCCGTGTATGATAGTGTGGTCCCAACTGCCACGATCCAGTAAGCGATTTACGAGTGCTAAATTGCTGTGCTGAAAGTGCGGACGACGCTTGAGCCGAAGTCTTTCGATAGTGAGTTGATTATCTTATATCAACACCAGTAGCTAATTCGTTCCGGTGAAGTGAGTTGACGATCCTTGATCAATGCCAGAAGCTGATTCGTTCATGTAAGGTCGTACTAGGAAGTACGTCAGTGAGAATTTCCTTTCCGGCATCCGGAGAAGCTGATTCATTCCTGTGGAGCCGTGCAGTAAAGTACGGTGGCGGGTAACTCCATTCTGACACCTTGAGGAGCTACGAGATCTGATCAGATAAGTGAAGTAGCGGACTTAAGATAACTCAACTCCAAATGTGCCTTCATGATCAAGTCTTCTCCTCCGCCGTGATGAACCCGAAAGTCTATAGGTCTATTTAGAAGAACTCTTTCTCTTGTGTTAGATTTTCAAAGTTTTGATCGTTCCTTTTAATTCTTCACGATACTTTTCATTAACTTTGTTATAGTAAATTAATTACAACCGTGTTATAGTTCATCAGTCTTCTAGTTGGTAGAAAAGTTTCGTGTTACTGAATTTCATTGTCTTATTCGGAGAGGCAGTGTTGTCTTGTCAGATTCGCTGTTGATTATTTGTTCGACTGGATTTGTTTTGTTCCAGTCTGGGGGCAATCTGTGGTGAGGACGTCTGGCCGAGAGGTACCCAAGTGTTCATAATAACCCTGTGGAGTCAGAGCTCGTGTCACCTCATCCCTGAGACAGGTTGAATGGAAAGTTTGAACCGAGGGTTAGGCATCTAGACAAACGAGAGCCACCATTCAAAACTCTCCTGTCTCAGAGCACCTGAGGGATTTGTGAAAGTATCCTGTAAGTAAGGTGCACGACAAAACTGCCATACGAAATATTTTTGGAGCAACCCTATTCTACCCGGAAGGTCGCGGTTTCGCGTCTTGGCGGATACGGACCTCTTTTTTTAAATGACCTTGGCTCCCAGGTGGACCCAGCCTTGAGTGGGTACTAGGGGTAGTCATGGGAAAACACGCACTCTTAAGACTATCAGGTTTAACACCGTAATAACATAAATAAGATGTCTTAGAGGAGCTGGCTTAATAGCAAGATGAGATAACATTATAAAATAAGAAATTAGAAGAAAACTAGGACTAAAACCAGTTTTAAAAAAAAAAGAAAAAAGAAAAAGATTTTAAGGTTTTGCCATCTGTCGAGAATGTTTTGTTACTGGCCGCC